CAAGGGCAAGTGTAGAGTCTTACATCTGGGTAAGAACAACCCCATATACCAGTACAAGTTGGGGACTGAACTTTTGGGGAGCAGCACAGAGGAAAGGGACCTGGGGTCCTGGTGGACAGCAGGATGCCCATGAGCCAGCAATGTGCCCTTGTGGCCAAGAAGGCCAATGACATCCTGGGGTGTATTAGAAGGGCTGTGGTTAGTAGGTCAAGAGAGGTTCTCCTCCTCCTCTACTCTGCAGTGGTGAGGCCGCATCTGGAATATTGTGTCCAGTTTTGGGCCCCTCAGTTCAAGAAGGACAAGGAACTGCTTGAGAGAGTCCAGCGCAGGGCCACAAAGATGATTAAGGGAGTGGAGCATCTCCCTTATGAGAAAAGGCTGAGGGAGCTGGGTCTCTTTAGCTTGGAGAAGAGGAGACTGAGGGGGGACCTCATTAATGTTTATAAATATGGAAAGGGTGACTGTCATGAGGATGAAGCCAGGCTCTTCTCACTGGCATCCAATGATAGAACAAGGGGAAATGGATATAGGCTGGAACATAGGGGGTTCCGCTTAAACATGAGGAAGAACTTCTTCACGGTAAGGGTAGCAGAACACTGGAACAGGCTGCCCAGAGAGGTTGTGGAGTCTCCTTCTCTGGAGATGTTCAAAACCCGCCTGGATGCATTCTTGTGTGATGTGATCTAGGTGGTCCTGCTCTGGCAGGGGGATTGGACTAGATGATCCTTTGAAGTCCCTTCCAATCCCTAACATTCTGTGATTCTGTGAAACCCAGTGTTTGGATCTGTTCCTAGGACCCTCTGAGGTGCCCTTCAGACCAGATGTGAGTTCCTGAACAATAGTCTTAAGACCATTAGAGTCAGCCCAGTTCTCCACTATGTGAGAGGTGGGCAGCCTTAGTTTTGCTGTAATTGGTGTGTATGGGGTCTGTTGGTAAGGTACCTTGACAACTGAGCAGAATTCAGATGATTTAGCAAGAATTTGTTGCCGCTTTCTGAATGAGTTGCAGGCTGTCACAGTGCCTATCACTCAGACTTTCCCCGCTCTTTCTCCTGTCCTACACGTGGGAGCCATCTGCTACTCGCCTCTGGCCTAGATGCCAAGTTTTGTGCATACGAATTTGTGAAACATTTAGGGATGAATCAGTAAGAGATTCATAACGGTCACTGACATCGTTAATATTAACGTGAAGACCTGTGTGGTCCTGATGTCTCTTTCCCCTCTTTTTGTTTCAGTTCATCGCCTTTGCCTCTTTATTCTTCATCCTAGTCTCGATCACAACCTTTTGCCTGGAAACACATGAGGCTTTCAACACCATTATAAACAAAACTGAGCAGGTCGTCAACGGGACAGAAACTGTGCTACAGTATGAAATTGAGACAGATCCTGCCCTGACATACGTGGAAGGAGTCTGCGTGGTGTGGTTTACATTTGAATTTTTGGTACGCGTTGTTTTTTCCCCCAACAAACTTGAATTCATCAAAAACCTTTTGAATATCATTGACTTTGTGGCCATCCTGCCCTTTTACCTAGAAGTGGGCCTAAGTGGGCTCTCCTCCAAAGCTGCTAAGGATGTGCTTGGTTTCCTCAGGGTGGTGAGGTTCGTCAGGATCTTGCGAATCTTCAAGCTCACCCGGCACTTTGTGGGGCTCAGGGTGCTGGGACACACCCTGCGAGCCAGCACCAACGAGTTTTTGCTGCTGATAATATTCCTGGCACTCGGCGTTTTGATATTTGCCACCATGATCTACTACGCAGAGCGGGTGGGAGCCCAGCCTAATGACCCCTCAGCCAGTGAGCACACACAGTTCAAAAATATCCCTATAGGCTTCTGGTGGGCTGTAGTCACCATGACCACCCTAGGGTACGGGGATATGTATCCACGGACTTGGTCAGGCATGCTGGTAGGAGCCCTGTGCGCGCTGGCAGGGGTGCTCACCATAGCCATGCCTGTGCCTGTGATAGTTAACAATTTCGGGATGTACTACTCCCTGGCCATGGCCAAGCAGAAACTGCCGAGGAAGAGGAAGAAGCACATCCCTCCTGCTCCTCAAGCCAGCTCGCCCACTTTCTGCAAGACGGACTTGAATATGGCCTGCAATAGCACACAGGGGGACATCTGCCTGGGCAAGGACAACCAGATGATGGAGCACAACAGATCATCAGGTAGGATCCCACTGGAAATGCATGTCCTCTGAAAACACTTTATAGACCAGTACGTTTGGTAGGGGTCAGAAAGCGGCCAGTCTTTCTGCCAGGAGAAGACGTAGCTCCCACCCTTCTCCCCTCCAGTGTTTGCGTGTGTCAGTCTCATAGAGGACAAAATAGATATAGCAATGTTCCCAAACCTCTATGTAGCTGGTCTATACAGTTTTGGCTTGCTCTGTTGAGAATAATATCAACCTTTTCTTTTGCCTGTTGTTTGTTGCGTTGTATGGATGTTTCTTGTTTTTCTGCATGACTGTAACTATTTGAGCAGCCACCGTGTCCCACCCTGTTGGACTCCATGGTGTTTTGCCTCAGTGTCTGTCTCTTGTGTCAGCTTTGCCTGTGCCACATCGTGGCCTGTTAAGCAAGATCCTACAAAGAAGCAGTCATTTAAAAGGAGCAGGTGCTTTACATCAAAAGCCCAGCACTCAAAGGAAATAAGAAGAAATTCTCTTTCTAGCTTTCTTTCCATTTGACATTCTGCTTCCCTGGCTAGAAGAACCTCCTTCGTCTGTGTTAGATGAGACATTGCATGATATTTACTATTAATTGAATGATAATAGCATAGCTGTTGTAAAGTTTGTCAAGAAAAATGAAAATGACAGCCCCTAGCAAATCATTGTTATTAGTGTTGAATTTTATGATTTATATTATCTTATTTGTTAGAGTTCTAAATGATGGAAAAGGAGTATTTTGTGCCAATTGCTGTGAAAATGCATATCAAATGACAGCCTCTGCTCCTCCAAGCCACTGCCCCATATTTCATATCTCTTCAAATTAAAGAGTAAATTTTATCTCTCAGTGTAATTAAAACAAACTTTTTAGCAGCAAGGATTTTTTTCTGTTTCATGAATGTGTTTACGCTTAAGCCAAGTACGATCTGATTACAAAGCTCACATACCAGTCATTAGACTCCTGTTGGAAAGCTGCTAAAGAATAATAAGAGCAAAACCACCCATGACTGATGTCATTTAGTAATTGAGATTTATTTTTTAAAAAGAAGAATCTGGAAAATTGATCTCTGAACAATATCCATCTTTGGTCTGTTGCTCTGTTACTGAATAGCATTTATGTTCAAAGCAACTCAGTTTCAGTCTCCGAGTGAGTGTTCACTGACAAAGTTTAACACAGCTTTTTGAACATCCTAAATATATTTAAGAGGATGGAAACCTTGAAAGGACTCACAGTGAGGGAGGAATATAGTTAGTTTTACAGTGCTTTGACTGATACTTTCAGAAAACATCCTGAAAGTATTAGTGATAACAGCTTTTTCATGCCATCAGATCCTACTAAAGGTATTCGGGAATGGAGGAGGCTCAGTGTGATCAGAACAAAGAGACACTTTCCTGTGTCTGCAGCTTTATTTACAAGGCGTTATAATCTTTGAAGATAGAGAGAAAGCAGATATGCAAACAGGACCCATTTTGAAGTGTTAACTTTCTCTTCGGTAATGCCACGGCTCACATCATGACCTGTAGCTTTATTTCTGGTAGAGAATGCTATTAGAGTCACTAGGAATCTGTGCAAAATTTCAGGGCCGAATATAGCCCTGTGCATTACTAGCTCAGAAGAACACATGCTCAGGTTTCAATGCAAAGGTAAAACTGAAGTCAATAACATGCCGTTACCTGTTATGTGCTGTGCTGAGCAGAGGTTTTTTTCTTGAAGTGTGGCCTGAATCTGAAATAGTATATCATTTTAAAAAAGAGTCCTTTGGAAATGCCAAATCAGGAGAGGTAAGAGTTTCACAGTTTGATAAAATTAACTACACAGACCAAAGACAGCGTTTACTGTTGGTTAGTTGTTGACCAGCAGTGCAAGCGTGCTAAGTATAGAAGTGAAAGCTAAGTGTGTTATTAAACAGATTTTAGTGCCAAATATTGAAAATTTAACCCTCCTGGGGAAGAGTTGTTTTTAAAATATGCTGAGCAACATATTCTAAGCAAAAATGACTAACATGACCTCTTGTTTAGCAAAAAGAAAAGCTAAAATAGAGGATAACTTGTTGAAATATCCAAGGCTGACTGTATTCTAAAAGTTACAGTCCATAATAGGCAACTAACTGAGCCTCGATTTGAGTATTTCTTATTTCATGTTAGTTTAGTAGAACTTTATATGAGATTTAAAAGAACAGGAAAGTCAAAAGATCATTTGTTCTTGAATAAAAAATATACGTTTTGCCATTTTGTGCTGATTAACGGTGAATTGCAATCTTGTTTTCTTCTAATGATTTACCTTATAACTATTTTTGAGTGATGGGAATATCCGACATTCAGCATAAGCTCTCTGTGATGTCTCATTTCCTCATTCATTATTGTCTGTAAATGGGCATGGTGCTTTAACCAGTGTTATCAGGTGAAGACAGTGCAGGAAGTGAGCAGCCACTCTCACCTGGTGAAAGGCTCCCTCCCATCAGACGCTCTAGTACCAGAGACAAAAACAGAAGAGGGGGAACATGTTTCCTACTGACAACAGGTGATTACACGTGTGCTACTGATGGAGGGATCAGGAAAGGTATGGACTTCTTTCATTAGATCATAAAAGATTACTCAGCAATGTGCTTGTGAAAAACAAGCTTAGAGTAAAATGTTGTGCACAATGCTCTTAGAGGAAAGACTGTACTCACAATGTATCTTTTTTTTTTTTTTTTTTTTTATTCCTAGTCATTCTTTTCTTGTTTTCCGTTTAGAAACACTCATCTCCTGTAGTCTTCACCAAATGTGCTTGATGTTGGACCCTCATTTCACTTGTGTCTTCATTTGTCTGTTACCTTTAATGGAAAAGCCTGCAATTCAGACCTTGCTCATCCAACCACTCATCCCTCAATACCATCTGTCATTCTAAAAAAACAAATTAATTATTTAATAACTTTGATCTGCACTTAATAACTTAGTGAAAATTACAGCTGAACAAATTACACTTAAAAGGTGGAAATTTCAGAAGTAAGCAACATTTTTGTTCTGAACACAACAAAGCATATCATCTGAGATGCTATTTAGATTTCTTTCAAATAAAAGTTTGAGTTTATAATGCCACAAAATGCTTCCTCTTTGTAGTGCACCACTAATTCTAAAAGGTGACTGTCTACCCCAACCAGAATTCAACTACAATAAAGGATGTTTGATCTTGCAAGGTGCTAAAAATGCCTTTCTAGTTATTCAGCCTCTTCAAATCTTCACTGTTCAGTAGTATTGGGTTCCCCAGGCAGAGTTTGCAAAACCTTCTGTTGTTGCGTCATCAGCCACGCGACTGATGGGAGGGTCTGTCCCATCAGGCCACTGCTGGCTGTGGCTGGAAACCTAACCTCAGGGCGTAGACCCAAAATCAGCAATGCCAGTGGCAGTCTTGCCAGTTCCCTAAATAAGAATTGCTTTGGTGTCTGGGCGAATTTTATCATTCCAACAGGTTTCACATTCCTGGGTGCTGATGTGCAGTTGTTCACCTCAGTGTTCATCTGCAGTAGCCATGTGGCACTGGACAAACATTTTTGGCTGAGATTTTTCTGCTTCTCTTTTTTTTTTTCTTTAGCTTGTTTTATGTACAGCAAACATGGCTGTCCCAGCCAGCCATAGATGCTAAAGGACATCCCTTGCATTATTCTGCAAATGTTCTTTTTACATTTTAAAAGCATGAGCTCAGTAGGTTCAATGTGTGAAGACAGATATACAACCACAGTTCAATGTGCATAGTATTTGTAAAGGGTATGATTGTCGTTATGCTCCTGTATTTTACATATTCCTCCTATATATAATGTTTAGATTAAAGGGGGCTTCATTGCAAACACGTTTTTGCACAGATTTAGGATGCTTTCTACTGAGTGTATATCACTGTCTTCTCAACAACTAGGATTATTTACGATATCTCTAATGGTAAGGGTCCAGTCTTCTTGAGGAGGTCAGGAACACCTGAAAAAGGCAGGTTGCCATGGCATCTTGCAAGATAAGGTTCTTGACTTCTTTTAGAAATGTTAGTATAAACATTTGAGTGCTGTTCACTTCACAGTAACAATAGTTAGAACAGATCAAAAACAATAAAAGATATTGCCCATTAGCTACTAAAGATATTTTTGTATAACAATAAAACATATTTTATACTGAGGCCACGTGAGCATTTCATTTCAAAATCTAGATTCAAGAGAAAATTGTTTCATAGCTTTTACTATAAAAATGGGACTTGAGTTCAGAACTGACAACTTCTCAATGAGAAATGTGCTCTTTGACTGGCTCTGATGTTAACCTTAGTCTAGGCTGAAATGCTTTAGGGACTAGTTTTGAAGTTTATTTTATACAGAGTAGGGAAGTTAGCTCGTAAGCAGAAAACATCTTCAAGTAGCATCCAAATGGTTTTGAATACTTGAACTTAATTCATACATCAAGTCTATTACTTTTTCATTCTATTTTTTCCCTTTCTTTCTTTTGGTACATTCTTCTTGTTTACTTTGTTCCTTGGCTGGTTCTTGGTTGTGTTTGATGATCATTTATTCTGAGTTTTTTTGCATTAGTACCTTATCTCCGTCTCCAAGATGACGCTGATTCAGAGCTGATCCAAACCCTACTGATATACCTGGAAAGCAATGATTTTGGATCATGCCTCTATCTCTATTCATCTTGTGTATCTGGTTTTCATTTTTTAGGAGCTCCTGTTTTCTTAATCATCTTTACCATCTTCCTCTATCAGTTCTTTGCTTTTATCATTAGAAAAGTAGTAGGAAAATATTATTAAAAAGTAGCTTTCTAGTTTCTGTGTAAAAAAAGCTACCTGATGATTTTGATTTTTTTTTGGTAAGCTTTATGTTTACAGGGGAGATGAAATACATATGCTAGCATTGTGCTTTGCTTCTATTCCCCTTTCAAACATGATTCTTTCTAATCTGTGTAAATACTAATAGAAACTCAGAAACTGGAGGCTGTTTTTGAAATGTGTCAGAAGTCTGTGAAGCATCACAGTCTAACCTGCCCTTGCAATCTGGAGATAACATTGTACAAAGTTTTAGCAGACATGAGGTTATACATTTGCTTTAAGTACAGTTTTACAGTATGCAATTCTCAGTAGCTAAGAAATATGTTAATTGTTGTTAGAGGAGGACTTAAGGTACGATTTTTCCTGAAGTCACTAACAACTGTCTGTTAACTCTCTGTTATCTGGAGATTTGGAATTTGAGCCAGTAACTGTTTCAGTAAGAAAAAAATGTCTGGTGCCATTCTGTGTAATGTTTAGCTTTATTGTCATTGACATTTTATAGTTTCTGTGGGAAAAGTCTCAGTATTTTGCTGTAAGCAATTTATGCCTGAATGTCTTAACCTGACAAACGCTTAAGCGCATACTTGTCTTCAAGGAAATAGGTAGCGCTGTTGAAATCGATGGAGCTTCTCGCGCTTCCAGTGAAGCACCTATCTGCATGCTTCAGGAGTGAGGTCCTGTCCGGCCTCCTCCTCATTGTATTTCCTCTCTGATATCTCTCTCCAGATGGACGGGCTGAGCCTTTCCTTCATAAGCAGAATTATTCAGATGCTATTGAAAAAACTTGAGTGTGAAGATAGTGAGGCAGTGAATAGCAATGCTTTTCCAACGCTTTATAGCATAGCCTCAACACGGTGAAAACAATCTATATATAGCAAAAAAGTAGGTAGCTAGAGCTCACACTGTATGTGGACAGAAATGTCTGCAAGTGCAATGTTCCCTCCAAATTGTGAAGTAGTATGTGATTGCCTCGTTTAATGATTAATTATTTACTATTTGCTTATGTGGATTAATACCATTTATTTCATTTGAGTCAGCTGGAGAATGAGCCCAAATATGATGCTTTAAATTTGCCAATCAGAAGGCATTTGCAAATATGTCAGACTCTGCTGTCTTATTATACTTTAATACTAGACACAAAATCTTAGAGTTAATATATCTGAAGATGGAGTTTCTTTCCTGTAGTATCATTCAATCCTTTGCAGAAGTGATTTGTAGATACTGTATGCAATTTTATCTGTTTTTTGTTTTATTTATGTTTAAAGAAAATCATCCTTTATTAGGAATTTGGTTTAGCAGAGATTATATAATCTAACAGTTTTTATACTCTGCCTTAATGGGTTTTTGATTATGCTTAGCCAGATAACTCACCCAGTAACCCTGTTGGGATCCTATATCTTGCACTCTGTGCAACCCTGCTGAAGCCAACAGAGCGGCACTGAGTGCAAGGTGGGATGTGGAAGAGCAGGTTAGACCTCTTGTGTGATGATCTGCTTAATTTTCTGGGAAAGAACAGCTGTGTTAATTTGTAAATAATTTTATTTGTCAGTATATTTTGGTAGTAGTGTGTCTGAGCATTGAGTTCTTTTGCAGGCAGATTCCCTCTGAGTCCCAGATAGCTCCTTGGATTACATTACATTGTATTGTTTGTCTTTGTCTATTTTTTTGGCTGAATTCAACTGATGTCTGTGCATTTTCTCATACAAGGCTACGAAAAATCTCGAAGCTTAAACAACATAGCTGGCTTGACAGGCAATGCTCTGCGACTGTCTCCAGTAACATCACCCTACAGCTCACCTTGTCCTCTAAGGCGCTCTCGGTCTCCCATCCCTTCCATCTTGTAAACCAGATGGCATCAATCGGCTACGTAGTATTAATTCAAATACTGTTTACCACATATGGGAAACAAATGTAGCTTTAACCATAGGCTCCACAAATATGGTATAACTCCTGCATGATATAGCTGTCAGTAGTAAGAAATGCCACGTAGTTAGCTGAAGATTTTTATCTTGGCTTCTAAAGATTACCTAAGGTAGCGCTTCTCCTTTTATCTACTACATTGTCCTACTTTCCTGTGGCAATAAAAGGACAGGTAGTGGATGCCGTTGGCCAGTATATTCAATAAATAAGCCTATTTTCAGGGAGATTTACTTAAAATAATGTGCTTCCAACTATTATCAGTCACTCCATTGAACCTCCATTACTTGTGACTCTAATCCATTCTGAAGATGTCTGGAATCGTGTCTTGATCGCACACAATGTGACTTGAGTCTGCTCATTTGCATGGACCATCCTGTCCCCATCACCTGACAAACAGTGTTGCTGATCGTGGAGACCACAGAGGGCTCTGGATATGTGTTACTGCATTGTACCATCCT